TTTAGATTTTATATTGTTTATTTCTGCTCTGATCTTTATTGTTTCTCTGCTTCTGCTGGATGCCTGGACATTTGAAGTCCATAATAGTTTGTCAGGGTGGAAAAGCTCTCCGAGAAGAGTAAGCAGCAGCATGCGCAAAGGCATAGTGCTATGAAAGCATATGATGTGTTTTGAGAGCATTTGTGATGTTCTTGGAACCCCAGAATGCACTGGCATGGAGTAATACAAGATAAAACAGAATAAGCAGCTTGGAGCTAGTTGGAAAAGCCCTTGAAGGTCATACCATGTGCTTTCGACTGATTTGGTCCCCCTGAAGTTCACATTTTGAAGCTCTAACCCCCACCGTAATGGTATTTGGAGATGGAACCTTTGAGAGGTAATTAGGTTTAGATAAGGTCACAAGGGTGGTGCCGGCGTGATGATATTAGTGCGTTTATACAAAGATACCAGAGAGCTTGCCCTGCTTGGTTTCTTTCTGGGCCATGTGAGCACCCTGTGAGAAGGCAGCTTTCTGCAAGTAGAGAAGAGAGCTCTCACCAGAAACCAACCATACTCGCACGTCTGGCATGCTCAGAATTCCTGTCTGTAGTATTGTATTATGGCAGCCCCAACAGACTAAGACACCGTGAAATGTGAACTTTTGTGGGCATTAGAGTTACTAAACATCTTAAAGCAGGTGAGTTAAACAATTAGATGTGGTATTTCATAACAACTCTAGTGGCAGATTATCGTGGAGAATTTGGCAGAGATGATGGTAGGAGATGAGTGCGAGTTAGGGAGATTGGTGTTAGGAAAACCAATTGATAGACAATATCACTAATTCAGGTGAGAGAGGTAGGCCCCTGGAGGGTGGCAGTAGTGATAGAGAGCAAGGTAGATATTTAAGAAGTAGTATTGATAAGATTTATTTTTTTTAACGTAATTTATTGTCAAGTTAGCTAACATACAGTGTCTACAGTGTGCTCTTGGCTTCAAAAGTAGATTCCCATAATTCATTGCCTACATACAACACCCAGTGCTCATACCAACAAGTGCCCTCCTCAATATCCATCACCCATTTTCCCCTCTCCCCTGCTACCCCATCAAACCTCAGTTTGTTCTCTGCATTTAAGAGTCCTTTATGGTTTGCCTCCCTCTCTGTTTGAAACTATATTTCCCCTTCCCTTCCCCCATGGTCTTCTGTTAAGTTTCTAGAATTCCACATATGGAAAGTTGTCAAATGGGATATGTACGGGAGAAATAGGAGTCAAGAGTTCTAGTTTGGATGACTGGGTAAATGGTGATGACATGAATCAAGATAGGGGAATGTAAAGTGGTTTGTCTCTGGATGGTAGTCTTAGAGATGGTTTTTATTTCTTTTTGTTCATCTGAATTTTACACTTTATTTACAATTACCATTTATTACTTCTGGAATAAGAGTAAACAGTTTTGTTTTTGGTATGGGGATCAGGAATGCAATGCAAAAGAAAGAAGACAAAGTTCTAAGAGAAATATATTAAGTTTGGGTTATATTGAGTTTGAACTGCCTATAAGAAATCTTGCTGGAAGTGTCCAAGGCTGTTAGAAATATAAATCCATGTGAAACTCAAAGACGGGGACTGGAGATGTTGATTTTCAGAATTGGGGTTCTCTGAGGGGTTAGAATATACTACCACAGAGTACTGGCTTTGCATTGGCCTTGGAATAAAGGATAACTGATCTTAAGTAGCACATGTATACTTGGAGAGGGGGAGGTATTGAGAGGGACACTAGGAAACTTGCAGAAATGGGACTGAGGACAGAATACATAGCCCTTGGGATGGGGTCAACATTCAGAGACAGAGTTCAAACAGAGGCACTGGAAATTCTCACTCCAGTTCCAAGCCAGGTATCAAAAACCAAGAGGAATCAGATCAATGAAGTGACATTGACTCTGGGTCATGGCTTTAGAGATAAAAACAATGTTGACGAGAGAAGCCAAACATGTGTAATAGAAACAATGTGGCAAAGAATAGGGAACAGCCTACCCTTGAGAAATAAGGCTGACTGAAGTACCTGACCTCTTGGATGTCAGTTGGGGGCCATGGAAAAAGGAACTTCAGGTGTCAAAGGTATGTAGGAAGATAGCCTGTCTTCCCCCAGAGGACTACTCGTGGTAAGAAGGGGTATGTGTGCAGTGGGGAAGTAGGTCAGTGGATTCCCATTTTCACCCACGTGTGTTGAACAGCAGATTATCTCTAAAAGCCAAAAGTAAATGGGGCTAGAGTTATTGATATTCTGCCAAATGACCCATTGTTTGTTCTAGAGGATGAGAAAAGCAGCCTACACATAGCTTAATACTCTTTTTGAGCAATGGATATATAATATTTTGGCTCTTCTGCTTTAATGCATCCATATTGATAAGGGGACATTCTGATGTGACCTATGAAACAAGCCATTTAGTCTGTTTCTTTTTCATTATCACTTCCTTCACAGGGATATGAGCCTTACTCCATCTCCAAGTCTCACTGAGAATGAGGTGAGAGTCAGGTATGGGATAGGAGTCAGTCACTATCTGGCAGACACAACCAGGAGTCACATGTTTATCACACGTATTCATCTCGGAAAGCGCTACCAATCATTCTGAGCAATGTGTCTGCCTATCTTCTGAGAATCCACTTGTTTCCTGAATGGTCTGCTTCTCAAATCCTGATTTTGCTCTTAAGGTTAAAACAGTCATACTTATTTACTTCTAATGAATACATAGATTTGGCTACATGATAATTGAATGGATTCTCTTTTCCATATAAATTCTAGAGGACAGACACTTTTTTTTGCAGGCTTTCTGATTATGCTAACCTTATTGGATTGGTTGCAAATTAGACTGTGTTTCAGGGAGACAGATATTTGAGCTGTAATACAATTCCTTATTATCAGCTCTAGGCAGCACAGTAAACCTTCAATTAAATTCTAATAGTAATATAATATACATATATTTATAGTTAATATCCTAGCATTCTTTCATAATGATGGTAGGGGGGTGGATACCTCCTTAAAAGTTGATCTAATTGTATATATTTAATGTATTTCTGATTGTGAAAGTTAGATGTATTTAAATTTTTAAATACATTTAATACATAATACATAATGAGAGAGTTAGATGCAGAATGCACATGGGGTGAGAAGAGAGAGAGATGGGGAAGAATTTGAGATGGGCTTAAGGTCAGGTATGAAGTAAGAGTGAAAGATGTCTTATACATATTACTTAGTTAAAAAATCAGTAATTTTACATTCTGATGATGCCATTTTGAGGCGGTTTCATCAAAATGTCTGAATCACATGTCTGGAATCCTTGAACCAGAACTGGCAGAAACTTCTGAATCCATGCAAGCAGATTGACAGACTGACCCTTGGAAAATGTCAATATTTGAGGGATGGATAAGGGAAGAGAACACCTGGGTTTTTTTTTTTTTGTTTTTTTTTTTTGTTTTTTTTTTTTTT